GGGGAGCAGAGGTAAGGAGGACAAGAAGGCACAGTCCCAAAGTGGAGGGGGAGCAATGGTCGGAAGATGAAGTAATGGATGAGTAGTTTGCAAAATGTTTATGTGGGTGGAAGGGAGGATGCGAGTCCATAGGAGGAAGAAATCAGGGGACGATGGTGGGATAGAATAATGGAAAGGTGGTATTAATGTAGTTTGAGCTGGGGAGTGTATAATTGAAGGATTGAAATATAAATCTCCCTTCCATCCACCTAAGACACTGGAAGGGCCAGGGGGAAGAATGTGCCAGGCTAGTCACATATCAATAGAGTTATTGGCTTAAGGCAGAGCTGACCGTGCTAAGGGCAGAGATAGTGCACCAAAAATTCATCCTCAAGGTCCCTGGTGAGCCTGCTTTACTTTTTTGCAAAAGAGTAGATGAAAAGGAATGTGTCCTTCAAGGGTAAGTTTCACCATGCCACAGCAGATTTCCACTACAGGAAACTTCAGGAAAGTCTTGAAGATTCTGTGATGACCAGAGGAAATACCAGGGAGACCTGGCTGCAGAGTACTGTATTTCATCAGGGAATGCATGGCATCTTGATCGTGAGCATCAAAGTGGAGCAGAATTCTTCAAGGATCAGAAGGAAGTCTTTGAATGGGTATAAAGTAAGTGCCTTTGGAATACTGGCAAATATAAATACATGTTCGCTGAATCAACATGTATTCTTGAATCCTTTCTAGGTGATAGGAACTGCACTAGAAGGTAGAGGACCAAAGCTCAGTGAGATCAGATCCCAGTCTTAAAGGACTCCTGGTTAGGGATGGGCACACTAATCCGACATCAAGGCAGACCTGAAAAATTTCTCTTTATTGAACACTCTAGCCAAAATCTTAGTATGTTTTTGTTTGCGTCTAAGTATTGTTTTGCATCTCAATCGTCTAGGTAAGGTTTCAGTTTGCATCTTTAGTCTCCCCTCCTCCCCCATGATGTGTTTGCTTGGGGCAACCAAGGAGGCAAGTTCTCCCAGACGAAATGCTCTGTATGGGCATTGCATGATCTCTAGTACAAAAATATGGATTCATATAAGCTCCAAGATTGGGGATTAGACTCATCACTTTCTGAGAAGTGTGCCAATAAGAAACCCAGCCTTTCCCTAAAGCTCTCCAAACGACTCCGTAGAAACTGGAGGTTTCAGCATTGAGCTTTGCAAATAATTTTCTCAGTGGAATGAGATTCTGAACAGCGTATTTCAGGACTAATTGCAAGAGATTCTATTTCTGCTTACTTAGGGAAGATTCCGAGGAATTCTACGTGACTGAGAGTATTATTTTATCACAAGAAGGGCTCCAGCTTCAGGAAGGCATCAAATCCACCCTCACAGCCTCCTCAAGGGACAGGTCTGCATAGGAGCTGGATAGGCCGTGGGGCTGCCGAGAAATGTCTGCATTCAGGTGGCACGCTCTTGTCCTCAGGAATGGGTCTAGGGTTCCACGGGCGTGCGTGCAGCTGGAGATGGCACTTCTGTTCAAGCACAGTGAGAAGAGGTTCTTCTCTCTGAGCAGAGCAGGCCTCCGGACACAAGCAGCATCGGTGGGTGCACCTTGAAATGAGCATACCGAGTGAGGGCAGTTATTGTCATCAAAGCTAGAATGCTTGCTCTCTGAACCCTGGAATGATAAGGTTTGGAGGCGAACCAAACACCATACTGTCACTGCTAGCTCGTGGAAAACTCATGGCAGGACCCGGAAGTGCCTTGGGAGACTCAACTTCCCTCTGCATCTTTAATATGAATAACTTATATTTTCTCCATTTATGATGACGTATCAGGCATATGATCTTCAGGGAAACATTCTTCTGCCTTTTCCCCTCATTCTCTGCTCCTTCTTCGGAGATGTGAGCCACCATTAAAACAGGGGATGGAGTCTCTATACTTTTCCCCACAAAACTTGTCAAGAGTGGTAACATATATGCTTTTATTTTTATTTATTTTTTAACATATCTCTTAAAAGGATTTATATGTGTGTGTGTGTGTGTGTGTGTGTATATATACACATACTTATTGCAAATAGGACCAAATGAGTTGTAATGGTGGAAACTAGGAGTTATTGGAAAAGTGCAGAACAGAGCAGTGTGAAGGAGAAAATGCCATGGAGTGAGCAAGGTTGCTGATCTTGCATAAGCTCCATTAACTATTCATCCCAGGACTTCCGAGTACACATGTTAAGATTGATGTTAATTGAAGCAGGAGGATTCATAACCTGGCACTGGCATCTGATGGGACAAAAGGCAACAATCGTTTCTTGCCTTTGGGGTTATTACCAGTGTATCTTTTTTCTCTTATGAACCCCAGTCTGTTCCAGCACATTGAAAAATAAGGAGCATTTTGGAAATAGTAGGAAAAGGATGAAGGCCTGGAGGCTGAGGGTCTCCAGTCTCAGGTCGGGTCTGGCAGCAGCCCGGTGCCATTTCTCATCTCCAAATAATCAGTCACCAGGAAAACCGCCCCGTGGGGAGCTCCAAGGTGATTAGTTACTACTTGGCATGTCTCATCAGCTTGAATCTGGGAAAGCGAATCTGGACCATGGATCTGGAACAAAAGGTGTTCATCTAAATTACTCTGATCCACAGGTAGATTCTGATTATCCTGCTCCTCACCCCTGGATGCATCTTCTGTTTCCATAGCAGCTCAAACCTCAGTAAAATGGAACCATCTGGCCAAGGCTCAGGTAAAATTCCCTGAGGGAACGAATCTGCTCAACTGCCACAACAGGGGTACAAGGACTCTCAGATGCATAGCAGGACAAACAGAAGGATAAGCAGAGAAGGATCAATTACAGACAAAGAGACACAAAGTAATAGCAAAGAAGTGAGAGGGACAAATCAAGCGTGAGTAACTGGACGTATAGCAGAAACACACATTAGAGTATATGACAAAGGGGAGACTACATCGGAAACAGAGACAGCATAAAGGGACCTGGCAAAAGGAGAAGATGCATGGAGACAAAGGGAGCAGAAACAAAGTTAGAGGATTACAAGAGGGAATGAAAAAAATACATCAAACATGAGTGGCCTGAGAGGATGAAAGGGTATCGTGCCTCTTGGGACAAGTGAGGTAAATTTGTTTTCAGTGATCAATGTTCCACCGATTGTGAGTAATCAAACTTCCCCAGGATCCAGCAGCACTGGGGCTCAGCATTAATCCAGGTTGAATGTTAGGGTTCTGAGGTAAGCTGTTTGGAATGTCCTCGCCTGGGATGTATTTGGGCTGGTTTCCATTACCAATCGCCTCATGCACAGCAGAAGGCCCCTCCCAGATTTTGAACTTGTCCCCATGCATAAATGGTGGTTTCAAATGGCAAGACAGGCAGATAACCTAGTGACTCTTCTTGATCCTTCCATTCCACATAGCAGTGTCAGGAATGGTGGCAGCTTCCAGAAATTGAGGTCAAATACCTTCTCTGGAAACTTTTAGTAGAACAAATGATCACTGTCTGAAAACTTTGTATTTGTGACCCATTCTTATCCCAAGAATGACTTTGAACTCATTCAGGAGAGGTCTCTGCTGTCTCCAGAAATGGAAGCCTCACGTCCAGGAGATAGCACGCAAATGGTGCTAAGGCCTCAGCTGCCAGCTCTGGGGGCATGTCTCATCCCAAGAGATCCCCTTTGTCCAAAATCACACTTTGCCTCGGGGTCCCCAACTCCCCTGACTGCTGTCTGTGGTAGTTTAAAGGCTCACCCCAGGTGCCCGGAAAGAGGACAGTTTGGAACTCCCAACAGTGTCATCTGAGATGCCTCACCGAACATGATCGGAGCTCAGTGCTTTCCTCGATCTTGTCCAGCTTCCTTCCTATTTCTTCAGAGGCGATGCTTCCAGGAGCATGCCCTCAACTCCTTCTTCCTTGCCCATCACCTTTCAGAGCTGCTTCTTGCTGCCCCGTCGGCAACAACACGCACACCTCTACCAAGCTGCTTCCTTTAGCTCCTTCACCCAGCACTTTTCTACGAGCTACTTACCTCCTCACAGATACACATGCATGTTTTGCCCATATGCATATGTGCACGCATGTATTTCTCACTAACCAGCAATCAACAACAAAAGGATGGGGCATTTTTCCATGATCTCCTACAATTTCACCTTGTCAGAGACCTTTCTGGTCAAACCATCGTCTCCTCTGTCAACCTAAATTGCTTTATTTTCTCACCCTTATCACGGCCTGCTATGTTGTACATTCACTTTTATTACCTGTCTTATGAGAATGTGCGGTCATAAGAGCAAGAATGTGTCTTTTTCTACGGTTATATCTTTAGCTTTGTGAAAAGTTTCTGCACTGTTGTAAGCATTCAAGAAGTACTGAGGATGAATTGAATATTTTAATGCATCTTACTCCCAAGTAAAAGCTGATTTGAAGATAAATATCATCTTGACTTAAATTCTAAGGGATTTATTAACCAATATATCAAAGCACAAAACAACATTTAGTTTGATCTATATACATTTTGTAATTTATCAAAACATTAAATTTTATTTGCTATCGAGGATCAACTAAAATAAAATAAGAACAACAAAATCACCAAAACAACTAACAAAATAGCAATTAGATTTTGAGAAGTGATGAAATACAGAGTTGGAAATGACTGTTTAAAAATAAATATAGCCGTTTAGAGCTTTTATCTGCCATTATATATTTGTGTTTTCTTTCTCTTAAAATAAGCAACTGAATACCGCCACCAACACTAACTATACAACCCGAACAACTCACACCATTTCACACAAAGACAACTGAACTGAGTTTCCAGAAATTGGAGAGATCCCCAAGTATGACTTCTTCAACTCTAGAGACTCTGCCTCCATTACTGAGAACACCCAATCTTGCTGTAGAATCCCAGGTACATTGCCAGCAGGCAACCAAAATTAAATGAACCCTTGCATAGAGTGACCAATGCTTCAACTTCCCAGCTATAGCCAAGATGTCTTAAATTTTCTCACATGACCCATATACCACATTACTCTTCTTACCTTTGGGGGAGATGTGTCTCCAGGTAACTGTAGGCTCTGGTCTACCCGTTGCTATGCAGGTGAGGCTGATGTTGTTCCCTTCATTAATGGAGATATCTGAAGAAATTTCTACAATTTTGGGAGATACTGCAAAGAAAAGAAAAAAAAGAAAGATAATAAAAAAAAAAACCCTAGTGGAATATTCTGTTGTTTTCTTATAATGGAAGTTGGCAGAATAAGCCAGAGATGAAAATATATTGGAGACATTTCTTTAAACATGAAAGCAAGTCTTACGTTGAATTTAGCTTCTATTTCTTCCCTCCCACTTAAACATAAAGTCTGGGAGCCTGAATGGGAATACATCTCACGACAAGACTGCAGTAGCCATTCTCCTGGTCTCCATCCACTCCCCGGGTCCACTCCCCCAGCCACACACACGCAAGCTCTCCTCCACACTGCTTTCAATATTCATTAAATAAGACCATCCTCATCATAACACATCTCTTCTTAGCACCTCTCCCTCGCTGCCATCGAGTCTTCAGTCTGCTTAGTCCTTATGACATACCTGATACCCACGCTCCTCATCCCAGCAGACTAGGTTAATCAGAACAAAATATCAACTTCCGCTTCCACTGACAACCCCAGCTATTCCACCCCTAGACCCAACACACTGTGTACATCCTAAATAACAAAACAGACAAAAACACTAACTTGGAGCCATGGAGTCAATGCTGACTCATAACGACCTTATGAACTGCCCCTGTGGGTTTCTGAGACTAAGTCTTGATAGGAGTAAAAAGCCCCATCTTTCTTCCACAGAGCAACTGGTTGTTTCAAACTGCTGCTGTTGCAGTTAGCATCCCAAAGTGTCACCATGATGCCACCAGGGCTCCTTCCATTTCTATCTCTACTGCTCCGCATGCCCTTCCTTTATGATCTGAATTGATGACAGTTACTCTCTCCTTCTAGATAGCTGATGGAGAATGGGAAGGAATGTCAGTTAACCATTCTTCACTTGAACTCTTTTTCTGTTTCCTAACATATTCCTCCAAAGGAGGGGAGGGGTTTAAATAGTTAATTGGTGAGTCACAACTTTCCCTATATCTGCTTCCTCACTTCCTCAACTCTTTAGCTCTAGAATCGGCCTTCCTGCAAGAAGCTGACACTCAGCTGTGCTCCTCCGAGGAACTGTTCTCCTAGAACAGCATTTCACAAGGTGCTCTGCTACTGAATCCACGGCTGAGTGTGTGCTCATTGTACTAAGTCCTATATCTAAGTGAATGTGATGTTTGGGTTTCCATGTGGCTATTCAACTGTTTTATCTGTGAGTTGCTTTAGAATTCAAGTAGATAACCAATCCAACCAACTCACTGCCCTCCAGTGGATGCAGGCTCATAGTAATCGTATAGCACAGGGTAGAATTACCCTGTGAGTTTCTGAAATGGTAACTGCTTACAGGAGTAGAAAACTCCATTGTTCCCCCACCAAGTGGATAAAGCAAACTTTAATTCATTTGATCCTACTTTCTAATCCTTGGCACTTACTATGCTATTTTTATTTGCTTAGTACTTTTCATTCACTAGTCTTTGAGTTTCTGATTGCCTGAACCATGCCCTATTTGTATTTATATTCATAGTAAGAGGTCAACAAATATTTATTGGATTGAATTATAATGCATATTTAGGGGAGACACCATCCCAACCTGATACATGCATGTAACAAACTCAGAGATGAATCATAAATATAAATGATTTCGGTTCTAGGGACATTAACTGAGACACATTCCCTTTATGCAAAATAAGTGGCCTTGTGAATGGTTTGTATCTATTTTTTAGGGCCTCTCTTTAAAAAAGTGGTCATCAGAGACACCACCATTCAAGATGTCAGGACAACCTAGTCTGCATGTGATCTGACCCAATGCGAAGACAGGAAACTTGGTCCCTCTTCTCAGGTCAGAGTGTAATCACTACATTAAAACTGATGCCTCAGGATGTCAATGTTGGTCTTTCTTCTATGTAAACTGTGGTAATTACATAATCTCCTGTCAACTTGGGAGTATTAAGAGTGAAGGGATGGAGTTTAGCCTGTCAGTTTGATGACCTCATTTGGAGGCATGATGGAGATAAATAGCTGTTGACATACTCAGAATGCAGGAGGAGGCACATAGAGACTGGGCCAGCATTGTGATGCTTCTACTATCACTGGATCCACAAGACTTTCTACCCACCAGCCTGTGATCTTTTTGCATTCGGCATCATTGGATGTGCTGTGTAAGTCTAAAGAGGAATTTATGGACTAGTATTGGACATATGGGCTAATATTGGACCTATGGACTGAGATGTTTTCTTAATATACAATTTTCTATGATATAAAGCTCTCTCTTACACACATATGGGTATCTCTGGATTGGTTTCTCTAGTCCACCTGACCTAACACAAAAAAGCATTACTCGTTCACTACTAATTGTACAGGGTCTTCTTTTCCATAGAAGTGAGTGTGTCATGGAGATATATTTTCTTACTCTTCAATTCTCTTTCTTACCCCTATTTTTCTTCTGTATCTTCCCCACACTCCACCTGATTGGATTACTTTAAAATTATTATTAGTAACTGGATGATGCAACATCCCCCCCTGAACGCTGTGTGTTTGCTATGGTGTTAGGTAGCGTACACTCTTCTCTCCAACAACTTATACTTGGAATTCTTCAAAGTCTGGCTGAATTATCATGCCTTCCATATGGTTTTCCAGGTGATCTTCAAGATGTAACCTCCCTTCCTGGAATGACTTCCTTGATGGTCTTTAAAATAAACTTCCTTACGTTACCTTCATAGTATCATTTCCCTCTTTGCTATAAATTATATGAATAGAACATGTTAAATAAGAGTTTGGCTACTCTATTTTTGTTGTCAGAAATAGGGTGCCTTTTGTAGAGCAATCACCAATTAATCATTTTGAGATTAAAATCCACATATGATTTGGATAGAGCAAGTGAATGTGTGTGTATGTGGATGTGAACTTGAACATACACACTGGTACTATCATGGGTATTTGGTGAGAGGGAATAAAATGAAGAGTAAATGTGGTGCAGGTTGGTGAGATACAAGTGATTCTATGACCAGGACATTTTAAGATGTAGAGATACAATTTATGTCTGTATTGGTTTAGATTGAATTTTTCCAGGATAGCAAGGTAATTGGCAAGTTTATGATTGGACATTAGATTTGCTTACTTAGTATTTACATTTCTGAACTAGTTAGTTGTAGAATAATTTCAACCAATACAAAACAAAAACAAATAAATCTTTCAGTGTACTTTATTCATACAGTTTTAACTGGAGCAATATTTTCCATGCCACCATGTCCCCAAGTCCTACATTAGCCTAGCCTAAGTTCCTTTCCATTCTGGGCAACCATGCAAGACTTGCTTCTGTCTCAGAGAACAGGCTGCCTGCAGAATGTCTGCACTGACCTTGCATCCACTACTTCAGTTGTACAGGTTAAGTAATTTATTGATCTGTAAAGCACTCTGAGATGTTCTGCAAGGGATTATGTCATTCCAATACCATGCAATAAAATAAAATAAGTGATGGACTTTGTGAACACAGGGTGATTTAGGGTTTGTAGTTGGAATTGTGCTTAAAGTACATTTTAAGTGGAAATCAAACTGGGTAATGAATTACACTTGCTTTGGAAGGGCTTATTGGGAGTTCATTTTCCTGGCCTGTCACATGATAGTTAATCTGCTAATCATACACTAGAGAGCAATGGACAGTCCCCAAGTAGAAAAGGGGTTTGGGCCAAACCTGTGAGTGGAGTAAGTATATTAAATAAGACAATCATAGGTCATGCTTGGAAGATCCATCTAGATTCACCACCACCCCTCCCATGACAATTGAAAAGCATCCAACTCATGAAGTAGAAGTTCAGAAAATTCTTGCTATCTTTCCAACTCTGCTTTTGACTACAGCTCAGATTTGGCACATTACTCCCAGGTGGATGGCAAAAGAAGTCCATTCATTACAAAGCACTAAGGTAGTTTCGCCAGAAGTAAAATTCCAATTATCAGAACTACTGGCTGAAAGCTGATCATATCAGAAATATATTTGTTTGTATTTTATTGACTATGCCAAAGCATTCAACTGTGTGGACTATAACTAACTAGGAATGGTATTATGAAGAATGGTACTTCAGAACATTCCATTGTGCTTGGGTGAATTTATTTGCACGGATCAAAAGGCAGCATGTGTAAAGAGAACAAGGAAATACCGTATTGTTTTAAGTCAGGAAAGGTGTACATCATGGCTGTGTCCTCTAACCACACTCCTTCAATCTGTTTGCTAAGCAAATAATCAGAGACGCTGGCTTATAGAAAGAAAAATGTGGCATCATGACTGGAGAATGATGTATTAACAGTCTTCCACGTACAGATGACACCACCTTCCTTGCTGAAAGGGGAATCTGACGCATTTGCTGATGAAGATCAAGGACTGCAGACTTCAATATGGGTTGTAATTCAAAGGAAAGACCCAGGTCCTCACAACTGGAATGGATAGTATCATGATAAAAGGAGAAAAGGGTGCAGTTGTCAGGAATTCCATCTTGCTTGGATCTCCAATCAAAGCTTATGCAAGGGGCAGTCAAGAGATCACATGAAGAATTGTATTAGGTAAATCTGCTACATAAGACCTCTTTAGCAAATTGAAGAGCAAGGATGTTCCTTTGAGGAATAAGTTGTGCTTGACCCAACCCATGGTATTTTCCATCGTCTCAGACGCAAGTGAAGATTGGGCATTGAATAAGAAAGACTGAAGAAGAATCTATGTGTTTGAATTGTGGTGCTGGCAAAGAATATTGAACATACCACAGACTGCCACAGAACAAACAATTCTGTCTTGGAAGAAGATGCTGTTGTTGTTAGGTGCAATCTGTTTGTCCTTTTGGCAGCCCATGGTACTTTCGATAATTTTCTCAAACATGACCATTCAAATGAATCGATTCTTCTAGAATCTTCTGTATTCAATGTCTAACTTTCAAACGTGTATGAGGCAATGGAGGATATCATGGCTTGGGTCAGGCACACCTTAGTCCTCAAAGGAACATCCTTGCTCTTCAATACTCTAAAGATGTCTTCTGCAGCGGATTTACCTA